TGATATTTTAACATATATACTTATCGATATTTGATTGCCGATATATTTATTTATCGATTTTTATAGGAGTAATTGGGATCAAAAACATCGCCTTGTTTTAAGAGAATTATTTTCGTCTTTGTATAGTAATTATTTAGGAGTAATATATCTTTCTTATCCCGCGGGATGATTACTTTCAGATGGAAATTAGTTACGTCTTTTAATAATTATATAGGATTTTTTTTTTTTTTTTTCGTCTCGTCTCGACGATAAAAATAAAAGTCCCATATAATTATTATGAGAAGAGTTAATTCGTTTTTTAAGGATATTATTCTCTACCGCCTCCACTGTTTTACGTACTTTAATGTAACGTAAATAAGTATCAATTTTTGTCGATAGTTATTTTTTACAAACCAATTTTTGTAAATTATTACAACACACACATATATTATTTTTTACGCCATAAGCTCTTCTGCGGCTTGGCGAGCCCTTTGTAAATTTTACATCACCAACATGTCAGCTTTTAATCCACATATACCCGTACAAACATATGTACAAAAATTTCAATAACCAATGCTTGTTTTAAAAGCCATCAATGCAACAAACACATAGTTAAGTACATATATGCATTCACACTGACCATATTGCACGCAAGTATTGAATACATATGTATGTACGAGTATGCATGCAAATCGATGGCAATCGCCTACAGGCTTCCTCCTATCGGCCAAATATGATTAAATGCAACACGTGGCAAAAAGTCCAACGACAACATATACATACATATATATACGTACATAAATTTACAACACACAGCAAATGTCATAACCAACCACAAATGTTGTTTTTGTGTGTATGTGTTTTTGTTTCACTTTTGTTTTTGCAGTGTCACCTGCACTCAACACGCGCATCAATTAAGCGGCCAATCAGTCATGGCAACGGTATTTGTGGCCAAAGGGCATGATGATAGTATGAAAAACAACTATAGTTGCACATAAATAACGGACATTACACACATGCATACTACATAGATACTGCCTATCATGCTTGTATGCATGTATACCCCAGTGTGCCTTTTCTGTTTTTGTTAATGAAATAAATATACAACTCGTTTAGGTCATAAATCACAAATGCATTGGGAATTTTGCATCTAACGAAGTGATGGCTTTAAAAACAAAACAAAACAAAAAAGATGAATGATTGTCGAATTGCCAAGTAAAGGCTCAATTAGTGGTGCCATAGCATAGCCATAACCATAACCATAGCAATTAAATGTTCCGATTAAACATACAAATTATAACGTCAGAGCCATAACCATAATGGTAGGTAGATATCTAGTTTCTTTTAGTTTTTCGCTATAACCATAAGCAGCTTTAAAGTATTTTGCTACGTTATGGCTAAGGCGTTTAAAATTTTATCTTTGAATATCCTTGAAATTTTGCAATACTTATTTTGAAAAAAAAAAAATGTGTTAAGAAGTAATATAAACTCGACAACATTCCCGAATATAGTCCTTCTAACTTTAAAAGCGTTAAAAAAAATAAAATTTAATAAAAGGGTATTTTCAATACCAATTCGTTTTTGTGAACCCAAAAAAGTGTAGTTTTTTAAATCCTACAGAATTTTCTCTTTCATTTGGTGCCCATTTTTATTCTACATTTCACTAAATTTTTTAAATAATTTTTGGAATTTATCGTATCTTTGAAATTATAAAGTTCTAATAAAAAAGTTTCAAAACCTAAAACGCAGTTTTACTATATTTGGCCCATAGCGTCTTCCATACAAAGTATGTTCGACAATTTGTTTATATGGAAGAAAATGTACAGCATCGTAAAAAATCCCAAACAAAAAACAACGGGAACTTGCATTTTATCCAATTATAATTTAATGGGCTATAAAACTGCGTACCTAAAAGTTTTCTAAAAATGCTGAGTAAAAAGTTTGAAATTTTGGTTAATGTTTTTTGCATTCTTATAATTTTTTACAAATTTTTAAATGATCATTTGTATTCAGTTAGTTAGTATTGCTTATATGGCGGATTCATAATTACAGTGGTCTTTTCCCGAAAGTTAGATTTATGGTAGCGACCTCTAAAATTCAAAAAATAATAATAATAATAATAATAAAATATGCACTGATTTTTTTTTAAGGTAGGGAATCATATTACGTGCTGCCCCGCGAAAATTTTACGAGTGAAAAATTAAGGGCCGCCCTAATTTACAATTATATGTTTGAAAGACAAATATAGTCGCCATTTTTATATAATATATAATCGTTGTCAAGCTTTTTAATTGTATGATGAAATTTCCAAAAACGTAAATTTTGAATTACTTTTCTATATTAAAAAAAGCAATATATAATTAGTGCTTCAATAACCAAAAACAAAACTGACTAAACCTATCTGCATTTACTGCTGTTACTGTTACTGTTACTCCTTTTGTGATAGCACTGCAGCGCTTTGTTTTCCCATACGTAGTTATGTGTATTATATTTTATGCGCATTATATAACCTTGCAACATCTCATTAAAATTGTTTTACATAAAAAGTCGTACGATAAACTTTTCAACGGTCAGCTAAGAGGATTTAAATAACAGAAATTATTCAAGTGCACTCAATTTGATTAAAGCAAAATACGGTTACTTTATTTGTATGAAAATTAATTTAAATATTTTCAAATAATTTACGAAACATTAGTTAATATTAAATTTTTTTAACATCCACTGTAAATTTAACTCGCCCCTGAAACTGAATATTAAGTCGGACATTTAGAAATTGGAACAGTTTTCAAGAGATGTAATAGCACAGCTTGAGTTCACAAAATCGCAATAAAACTTCGATTAGTAATGGTTTTTGCCAGAGTAAAGCAAACATGAACCTTTTCAAAAATTTAGTGAGTGCAGGATTAAATTCGCTGCTAGCTTTCTTCATCCTGAATATCTGACCATTCGGCTGGAGGTAACTCTGACCAAGCATTCCTTGGTCCGCAACGAGTTCTAACACTCCCACCACCTTCGCTCATCGAAGCTAAGTCAGAGAAGAGTGATGGAATATTATTATTTTTTTACGAAAATTTTGCTCACTATCTAACAGACGTAGTTAGGCGCCCGATCGCTGGTATTTGTCAGGTGGGGTGCAATAAGGCCATACGCAATAAAGCCATATTGGAAATAAAGCCATATTTTTTTGTTAATAAGGCCATAAATTCGATATGGCTTTATTTCCAATTACAATTGGTAATTAAGCCATATGGCTTTATTTCGCTGTAAAATTTTTATGTTTATTTTATTTGAACAATGGAAAAAGCTCGCAACAAAACTACTAAACCGCCTTGAACAACAACGTCACCTTAAACATGCAGTTACTCTCCTTCGCGTCCAGCCGCGCCGCGCTCCGCCGTTCACGTGCCGCGCGCGCTGCGCCGGCCCCGCGCTCCGCCCTTCACACGCGGCGCGGTGCGGGGAGCCAGCAAATGTGCACCCGCCAGGTTATGCACTCGCAAAATTAAAACTTACCTAAGTACATATATTTATTTTTCAATATCCAATAAATCCGGAAATATTAAATAATGATTTATTTCATTTTATTAGTAATAATTTGTATAAATTTAAATAATTCAGTATCAGTTTCAAGAGTGTGTCCAAGGCGAATTTAATAATGAATTACAACCAACACATCATTTGGACGTAATGTTCAGATAAAATTCAGATTCGCCGTTAACACCGCCTTGAGAGTGTCATTTCAGAATATGGCTTTATTTCTCATTTGCAAAATTTTTTGTATGGCTTTATTTCTCTTTCTGATTGGAAATAAAGCCATATGGCTTTAGTGCCTAAAAATATGGCTTTATTGCCATATGGCTTTATTGCGTATGGCCTTATTGCACCCCACCATTTGTCAGTGGCCAAATGCTCCTGCTGTATCTGGCCGCTTTGCCGGTCTCGGTTTGGTTAGTTTGAGGCAGGAGCTTTTTGATCATTTGGTCTCTCGGTTCGATGGCGGGCCATGTTAGGATTTAACACTCTTTCCAGGTATCGGAGGTACCGTGCACTTCCCACACGGCTGACACCCCTTCTTCGCAGGTCATCTTGTGCCCCTGCTCGCTTGCCTCCAGGTGTGAGACTTAGGCAAGGTCTTACGGACCTCACGCCTTGCTCCTTCCTCGATGCATTGTTTGGTATGAGAAGGCGAGCCCATCTGACCCTCCAGCCTGTCCCTTTCTTCTGCCCGTCAAACCTGTTTCTCTCTGCCATCAGTTCTGCGATGTGTGGTGTATTGCTGTTGGTTTTGTCGCTTAGGCGAGGTTCCAATGTTCTTAAGCCTGCTACGCGAGGTTCCACGCTGTTGTGTACATGATGGCGAGGTTGTTTTGCCCTCGAGCCTGTTGCTGTCGCTTTCTTTCGTGCGGCGCTTTCGATTTGTTGCGATGGTGCATTTATCAGTCGAGCTGCTGTCAGAGTCGGCATTTGGATGCTTAAGATCGAGTCTCCTAGGAAATGCAAATATCTGGCGGTACTTATCGCGCGAATAACAACAGAAGTGGTTTTTAGGGCAAATATCATGGTGGCAACGATGCGGATTTTTCACCTCGATGCTAAAAGAAGCCTGTTTTCGGCAAAAAAGTCCTAGACCGAAGGGTCTGGGAAAATGGATCTCCGCACCTTAATCCCAATTACTTTACATTGGTATATTTTACGTGCCAAAGTTGGATGACAGAACAAGGATAGGTATGCACGCCGAAGTAGCAGCAAACTTTTACTTTTACAAGTCGTAATTATCGGCGCTCTCACATGCACTGTATTTGACTTACCACACCTACAGAATGCTCTCTTTGTTNTAAATACATCCCCACTCAAATCAAATTTGTCTACCCAAGGCACTGTTTCCCAACTTTTTTACAATAAAAGTAAACTAAAAATTAATAGAGAAAAAAACAATTTATTAAATGCTAAATTTTCTCCAAATCAGTGCAATAAATAAAATGATTTAAATATACATATGTAACTAATAAATTTAACTAAGTTCATAGTTGTTTAAACTCCAGCATAAGTTTCTCATTTAAATTGAGTAGAAATGAATCTGCTTCTCGGTTATTGCCATGTTGTGTCTGTGCGCAAGTATTTATGGAAAATTGTGACACTACGGATACGATAGCCAATTTTATGATCACCATAGCCATATCTTTGCCTGAAAGTAATATATTGTACAGTACTCATTCAAATAAAATAGGAAAGATTGTTTCAAAATTATCTAATGGAAGATTTCCTTTACACATTAAAGGCCAAAAAATGGTTTACAAAGTACATTTCTATAAAAAGTCAAAAGTATGAATAAAAACTAAGCAATTGCTTTTTGTAAAAATTTTAGAACTTTTACTTAAATTAATTTGAATAAATCGAGTAAATTGTCTGATATTAAAAAAAAATCAATTATCTAGTTTTTATTCATATGGCCCATTATGTTTGTTCCCACATAGAATTTCATAAATGGCACACATTTTTTTTTTTTTTTAATTCAAGCCTAGTGGAAATTTGGCATTATACGAATATCCTGCTGATATTCGTAATAACATTAATTATCGCTGTGTGTATGGAGATAATATTGTTGAAATTTATATATTCATCGAATGCGTTGTTTTAAAGTTATGTGAATTTAACGATAAATATTTTTTAATGAATTACTCGATATTTTGTTTACTTTATTTATCGATTTAGTTGTTTATACCAACGAATTTAAATTTTTTGTATCGATAACTAATAATCGATATCGATCACTATGGCATTATCTATATCCAATTGGAAATCTATGTTTAAATTTGTATCGATTTATTTATCGAAAAATTAATCAGTGGAGCTGTTTCAAGGTTCTAATTAATTAATTTGTGTACAAGTTTATCAATGCAACTATTTTAACTTCAATATTTATTTATGGTAACGAGTAATCATAGTAACGTTTATCGAAATTTAAATACTGACAGGAGGAGTGCATAAATCGATTATATTTTCTTATATATATATATATTAGTTTTTCATAAAATTAATCGCTGTTTAATATTACGTTCAAATTGGCCCCATTTAACTTCTTAAATGAAAAAGATCTTTTTGGAAAACACAATCGTCCACGTTGAACAATTTGGAGTTAACTTTGACGGTTATTTGATTACCAATAAAAATTCGAAAAAAAAAAATATTCAAAATCAAGTTTTTGTGTTTCAATTTGTTTTATGCGAATGTCTGCTTCATGATATTAATGCATACGGATTATTTAGATACTTCAAACTGTTTAGATCGTACGCCCTATTAATCTCTGCGCACGATGAGACCTCATGGGAAATAACTAATTACCGCATTGGCCTCTTTTTTTTGGCGGCCAGACATGCATACAACTTTGATATTTTTTGATAATTTTGAATATTTTTCAGAATATAAATTTTTTGAATGTTGAGATGTCAAATGAAAGCTTTTGTGTCTTTCTGATTGGCCGGAGCAACTCTGCGTTTAACTGGTTTTCAAAGGAGTTAAATGATTTAACTGGATCAATTTTCCAACAACAATTGCATGCGATTTATCTTGCTTATGAACATGTTTTGTTCATTTAACTGGTTCAAACGCATTTAACATGTTTAGCTCGTCAATTTGAACGCAGTATAAGAAACTCTGGATATTATTGTATTCGTTGATTTTTATTTTAATAAACATCGATTTACTTGTCAATAATTTTTTTGGTGTAATCATTGATAAATATATCAATGAAACTGCAATTACGTTGTCGATATATTATTACCGATATCGATCATTTTGATGACAAATACCCCTAGAAAAATGTATCGATTAAAAAACTCACAAAATTTATCGAAATTAAAATTGCAACACTTTTTGATATTGGAAGGAGTGAATTCATCGAATTTTATCGTAATATATTTACTTGTCGTTGAATTAGTAGCATCGTTTTGGAAGTACTCGTTGCTATATACATATATCCACGATATCAAAATACTGAATAGTACTGATATTGCCGCAACACATTTCGCTTTTAATGTACATACATACTTATTAGTCTTTCGATAAAAAATTAAGTGCGATTAACGAGATACATTTCGATAATTTCACAATTATCGGCATAAAAAATTTACGTGCATTTATCGATATCACGATTGCAATACCAACTAATATTAGAAAGCGTGCATTAATCGACTTTGTCATAAATTTAACCATTTATTTATCTTTAAATTCACCTCAAAACATTATTTTAAAAAATTCAGTATTTTGAAAAGGTGTCGATCTATAGATTTTTTTATATGTATAATTATCGGTAGGTCTGTCGCTAAATTATTCGCTGTTACCATCATTACACACATTTCGATAAAGTAAAAACTTGTTTGTCGATATGTGTTATAACCGATATCGATTATTTTTGGCTAGTATACATCGATTTTATTTTTTTATTGTATTTTATTTATAAATAAACTTTTCTTTAAATTAATCGTTTCTTTTTAGAAACACTAGTCGATATATTCCTGAATCGTATATCGATATATGTACATTTAATGATAGCTGTTAAAGAAGCTTAAAGCGATGGCAAAGCAATTCAATATCGTTTTTCGATTGTTTTTTTTTACCGTATTTGGAATCGTTTCGCATTTCATTATACGCAGATGTGATCAAAAGTAAAATTTTAGACTACTAAAACTAAAAAGCTTTCACATAAAAAATGCTAAAGAATACGCGCATACATACATATACGGAAATTACCTAAACAACTTCTCGGTCCAGCGCCGAATGGAAGAAAAACTCCTCGCTCCATCAACTCCTTCGGCGCAACATTTTCGAAACGTTCTGGTATAAATGAATTTGGCTCACAGAAGATAAAGGGATCGTGATGGTATGAATATACCGGTACACAGAGCACCATGCCATCATCGACTTGCACGGACTTGCGCTTCGAGAGCTGCACCACATTAGCAGTGGTGCAAATGCGCCGACAATAAGGTACTGTGGGACTCAGGCGCAGGGTTTCTATGTTGAAATTTTAACGAAAGCGTAAAATGAATTTGAATAGGGCGGTAAAGAGATGGATCATAATCTCACCAAAAATGCAATGATCGAGATAGCTGAGTGACATCAAAGCGTCAAAAGAGAATTCGGTGCAATTTTCATGCCGCTGCGCTTGCAACAATTCGACGCGCAGTTTAGCTTGCACGCGCGGCTCTTTTGCCAACTGAAAGTGAATGTGAATTATTGGTGTTTTTCTTCTTCTATTCCTCGCATTTAACTCACATAATAAAATGTGTAAATCAGCGTACTGCAAATCTCCTCAAAACCATCGGCCAGCATAGCCATGCAATGCCCCGTCAGCGCTTCATCGCTCATACGCCCGGTGT